TGACATTCTCTAACTATTATGCTGATGCAACTGAGCTACTCGAGTTTTTAGGATGAAAAATCTTGCACGCCAGCAGGAAATCCATAAAGCCACCATGATGTTTAGATGTCTGCACGAGCTAGCTCCAGGGTATCTATATTCAAAGTTTACGTGGCGTGACTCTGCTTATGACCTCAGGGACTCTGAAAATAAGCTCAATGTGCCATTACCGCGCACTGATTATCACAGAAAAAGCTTTAGCTACATGGCGCCACATTATGGTACATTCTACCACGCGATATAAGGAACACAGTCTCTGGGGTTGTTTAAACCTAAGATCAATGACATTCTTTAAGTCTAACGCACGGCATTCAAGGAAAACAGCTTTAGTGTTATAGTATGTAGTTTGAATTTTAAATATCTTAGCGTATGTGATATGTATTTTTATGGGCTGATGAATTGATCGTGTTTAAATAAAGATTAAATAAATAAATAAATAAATAAATAAGTAAATAAAGAACAGCGAATGTTGTCGCGCTGCTTTAGGTACGATTTTAAAAGGTTGATCCGGGTGGATGGAAACTTAATCACCTCTATAACTTAGAGGAAATACTTCACCCAAGTTCTTGAGATACGAAAACAACCATTTAGTTTAGCAGGATGTGATTTACTCTTTGATCTAGTCTTGGAAAATGGAAGGGGGGGAGCTTTCCCTCGTCAGGCTCAAACGGGTGCGTACCGCTGAACAGTGTCTGTGGTTTTAGGGGTCTTAAGTCTTAAACAGGGTAAAAAGTAAATAGTAGATATTTGCTTTAAAAAATAAAACAGAAATAAAGTATTATCGTCTCTGGATGGAGTTGCGTCGCGATCCACATCGGTAGTAGCAACATCATTGAATAAAGGATATTATTAAAAACTAGATCATTGGATAATGCAATTCAAGACTTTTTATTGGCTTAGCCATTATGGTATATTTAACAACTATTCACCGAAGTGGAGGTGGTTAGTGGTGAATAGTTGTTTTAGTATATACTAAAACAGTGAGATAATATACACCACCATCGTCAATTTGAGTGATTTCTTCGCTTGTCACAGATGCAAACCGCGACGCCTTTTTTTCCCGAGTTGCTCGGAGGTAAATAGCAAAGGATATTCACAGTTTGACTAGCCAATCAGAGCGCTCCTTCAACGCTATCCACTGTTTTAGTATATACTAAGAGCCAATATACCATAATCTACAAATATGGCATGCATATGCGTCAGCTTAAAATCAAAAGGGAGCTAAAAATTCCGGTTTCTTCTCACAAAATAATAATTTCTAGGGGGGCGTTATTATTAAACCAATTATCTCAATGTTGCTTAATTAACAAAGTACCAAGTTTTTTGTGAAAAATCCATTTTCCAGCATTAAACAATCAAATATGTCTATTTAATGTAAAATCAGGTGAAAAAGTTAGGGTTAGGGTATTTTTTAGGGTTAGGGTTAAACAACATTAGGCAAAAATAAGCACTGCACTTGTACTGGTGGAACATAATCTGGTTCATTGCAGAAAACACTATCAGCAATTGTAGAACACTTGTTGCACCATTGGGTTCCGGGCGGGTAAGTGGGGACATTAGCTCCAACCCGATCAAATGGACGGTAGAACCGCCTCGGGACTTTTCTCTTCGACAGCTCTTTGGAGTGCTTCAAAAGTGGACACGAGCAATATTCATTGGCTTCCCGAGTTGCTCTAATCCAATGCCGAGTGCAAGCCCAGCAATTTAAATTTCCGTCCACAAACCGAGCAATGGCCCCGTCAAACCGCGTCAATCGACCTTGGCATGTTTCTCCAGCTCGTGTTCGCTTAATAAACCAGTAAGTCCGCTCATTGGGCTTTGCATGTGAACTAAAGAACAATAAACACCGCGTAAGATGTCTTCTGCTAAGTCTTCGATAAATCTATCGTGTTAAACGCGCTGTTTTCACTAAGTGTACAACCTTTAAACCTCAGTGTACAAAAATGTAAGTGCTGGTCAATGAACGAGGGAACTAGCGATAAGATTTCTTTCTACCGTTTTCAGTTTGGGGCTACTTTTTCACCAAAAACTAGACGAAACTTTTTAAAAACGCCGCCATTTTTTCGAAGTTTGTTATGGTGCCCAGGCCATTGGCGCCAGCGCGAGCCAAGAGATCTCCCACATGCGCCGACGTTCTTCTGCCCTGTTTTTCCCGCCAACACTCGTTCCATCCTTAGCTTGTTCGCCTTTCCGAAACCATTTTTTGCAGCGAATGTGAAAGTCTTTGCCACAATTGGCAAAATTTTGTTCGAATTGCGGTTCTAGATCGACATCTCCTACTAAGGCTTCTACCATCGGATTTTCCGAATTTAGAAAAAGGAAAGAAGAAGAAAGAAGAGGAAAGTTTGAGCCCAAAGGGAAGAAACCCAAAGTGACTACTGCTAGTAAGAAGAAGGATGTTCTTGTCAATATAGGAGTAATGAAATACTGTAATGGTGAACTTAAAAAATGTAGAGGGAAGACATTGCCAATTACTACTAGCACAGATGCAAGTGCAAATCAGATAAAGGAGAAAGCAGTCACTAAACATACAAGTCACGATGAAAGCCTGCATGATGGATTAGAGTATGTTCTTCTTTACCCCGACGGTAGCGAGATAGTCAATATACCAGGATCTAATGAGCCCTTCGTATTGGAGAAATACAGAGAAGAAGTTGGGAGGCAGTACAAGAGAATAACATTGTTTATCAGTACAAAATCAGATTTTCTGTTTTCCGAAATGCCCAAGATGTCGAACGTGGAAAGCGAACCACAAATGTCCAGTGATGATAAAGAGTTGCAGCAGAGCATTTAAGATAGCTCAGCCAAAGTAAGTGGTTAAAGTATATTGTTTTACATATAAATCAAAAAGAAGAAGTGGTGATATTTAGGGGAAAAACATAGGGGCATTTTAGACGTTAACTTCATAACCTAAAAGATTTCATTGCTTTAGGGGCCGATTATTGAGTATTTTTAGTGACGATGGTGTTTATTCGTATACTTTTCTTTTGTCCTGTGGCAGGGGATTTAAAGGTTATTTAGGAAATGTCAAAATCATAATTAAAACTTTGCTAATGCACTCACTTATCTATACAAAGCCCAAAGCGGGGTGGGGGTCGGGCAAAGGGTTAGCATTTTTTTTTTTTACAGGGAGAGGATCTTTTGACAGAAATTATAAGCTAATGTGAATTCTTACTCTCAGGGTCATTCATCCAACTTAAAAAAAAAAAAACTGAGCCCAATTTTTGTTGTACAATTTTGTTTGGAGGAAATATCTAAAGATGAAATTGCTGCCAAGCCAAATAGTTGTGGGTATGTTTTTCATGAGGTTTGTCTCAAAGAGTGGTTAGTCAATTGTGATTCCGCTGCAAAATGCCCTGGCTGCCAGAAAGTCTTCACCTCAAGTGCGAGCACTTCCATTGCAAACAATACAAACATGAGCAGTTCAAACCAAAGTCACAAAGATCATTTCACCCCAAATGCCAGCACCTCCATTGCAAACAATGCAAGCATGAGCAGTTCAAACCAAAGCCAGAAAGATCTCTTCACCCCAAGTGCGAGCACCTCCATTGCAAACAATACAAACATGAGCAGTTCAAACCAAAGCCAGAAAGATCATTACACCCCAAACGCCAGCACCTTCATTGCAAACAATGCAAGCATGAGCAGTTCAAACCAAAGCCAGAAAGATCTCTTTACCCCAAGTGCGAGCACCTCCATTGCAAACAATACAAGCATGAGCAGTTCAACACAAAGCCAAGTTTATCAGACATCCAGTGGCCTTGACTATATGTATGTTAACAGACAGTATGGGGACATACTCTATGTTTCTGATGATTCAGATGGAGAGGACAGTTATGAAAGTATTATACACATTCCTGAGGAGACCGAAGCTGGTACAACAAACACGTTTACCGAGAATGCTTGGGAATTTCATCGCGGGCTCACCTAGAGAAACGAATTACAGTGAGATGTTTTAAATAGTATTAAAAAGGTTACTGTGCTGCGAGTAGATTTTTAGTAAACAATTTTGGCATTTATTATTGCTCGAACTTTGAGCGGAATCTTTCTTAATTTGTTCAACGTCCCCTTTGGCTTCTTAAAACAGTAAAAACGCCTAACAATAGGGGCTTGTTATTGGAAAAAGTTAATTATCTCTTTAAAAGCTAGAACGTCAACAACGACAACAGCAACAACAACATTTAGTTATACCACAAAGAAATAAGATAAGAAACATTAAGAAACTATATATTTAGCGCCTACTTCTAAGCTCTTTCGTGTTACGTGGGTAAACAAATTACATCTACATTTTCATTTTTACACCGTCAAATTCGGTGTTTCGGCTGTTCCGGTGTTCCGGGGTGTTCCGGGAGAGCAAGTCTGTATCTTTACTGTCTCTTATAATGGAGAAAATTGCGTAAGTGAACTTTAGGTTTTGCTTTCATTTCATCGAGTTCATCTATGAGTGCGTCGATGGTCTTCCCTAAAGCTTCCTTTGTTTCCTCTGAGAACTGTCTCCCAGTTAAATGACCGCCAAACATTCCGACCAAAGCTCCAACGAGGCCACCAACGACTGGAACAGGAATCATAATTTGGCCTGCGGTCATCCCAGCGATACTTCCACCTGTATGACAAATCGCCAAAATCACTTTGTCAACCACTTCCGCGATGAACTCCTTTCTTGTTTTAATCAATACTCCACCTCTCCATTTCTCGTACTCCTTGCGAATGTCCACAATTGCTACAATAATCTCGACGATCACGGTTGATATTACCCCAATGCTGATTCCGAGTTTCGAAAGAGTCTCTCCCACAGCCCTTCCGGCTGCAGCCGCTGAAACGTCGTCCCAAATTTCGGCAACCACCCTCGGTATCTGTTGAATGCCATGCCAAAATGTTCTTATCGCGGCACTTCCTGCCTCACAAAGGGCTTTCGACGCTGAGGTTACCTGTAAACTGATGTTTAGGTCACACAAACACCACATAACAAACGATTCACAGTTGTTGCTTGTCAGATGGTAGTCCTTCTCGCCTAACCTATCACGAGCCCTTGCAATCTCCTCTTCTGTGGAGTATCGTCGCAGTTCCTCTGGCCATACAACCCTTTCTACTTCGACTCCGTTCAACAGCTCCGTGGTCTTTGGATCGACATCACTCTTTGCGATCAAGTCTCCGTCGGGCAAAGTCGCCTTCTTTATTATCCCTAGCTGTTCAAGACATGAACCCGAGCCAAGGGAGACCAGAAAAAATTGCTGAAAGGCATCTTTCGCTGTGTAGTGAATGATTTTCCGCTCTCCACTTATCTCGTCTATTTCTATGCACAAAAAATGGTGCGCGTACTCTAACGAAGTACCACGGTTTCTTGTCATCGAGAGGTGGTCGCCTGGTTTCATGTCAGAAAGTCGACGGATCGGCTCCCTTGCTTGAAGTTGCCATCGCAGAAGCTCTTTTTGCTCTTCAGGTTTACGTCCCAAGATGTCCTTCCAGATTGCTGAGGATTCGCTTAAAACCATTCTTCTACAGCATACAATACATAGTAAGCTTTCAATTTCTCTACTTTAACGCATTACAAGAATCCTTTATATATCTTTTGGTTCTATAATAGGGGAATTTTCCCCTCCGTCATTAAAAATAGCACAAGGGACTTTTCTCTCTTTTGTTTTTCTCATGGGCTGGAGAATGACGTCCTACGCAAAATATTTTAAAAAAGCCCTCAGGCAAACTACGAGGGGAAGGGAAAGGGGAGCAAGGCGAAACAAAAATATCTAGAGAGCGGGGCAATAGCTCCGCATGTATATTTAAAAACTTTTCAAAACATTACGAAATCACCATTGTGTTCAAATTTTCCCTTCTTTCTCTCTCTTTCCTCAAGTTATGAACGGGATTTCCTGCAATCTAAGATTACTGACATTTGTGCAAACAAATGTGCATAAATTGTACCGAGGGGGGGCATTCCCCTTTTTCGGTTTTGGTTACTTTTTAGGTAATTTTTTTCGGTTTTAGTGACATAAAACTTCGGTTTTTCGGTTTCAGTTTTCAAAACGGTTTGCCGATTTTCCGTTTTATAGCATTTGGTTTTCGGTTTTTGTGTGAAAAATACTGACGGGTTTTAAGATGTGAAATCCGATGTGATATATTTTCGGATTTTCCTTCAAACATTCAATTCGTCACTTCAAACATTCGTCACTTCAAACATTCGTCACTTCAAACATTCAGTTCGTCACTTCAAACATTCAACTCGGCAATTCAAACGTCCAATACGTCAAATGAAAGATTCAATTCGTCACTTCAAACACTCAATTTGGCAATTCAAACGTCCCATTCGGCAATTCAAAGATTCAAACGTCCCATTCGGCAATTCAAAGATTCAATTTGTCAATCGAACATTCACTTCGTCATTTCAGACATTCGATTCGTCAGTTGCAACATTCAATTCGATAATTCGCCGGTTGAAATATCAATTCTGACATTCACTCTCGACGTTCAAAGTTTCGACATTCACTTTCGACATTCAAACTTTGAACATTCACTCTCGACATTCAAAGTTTCGACATTCCCTTTCGACATTCACTTTCGACATTCACTTTCGACATTCACTTTCGACATTCACTTTCGACATTCACTTTCGACATTCACTTTCGACATTCACTTTCGACATTCACTTTCGACATTCACTTTCGACATTCACTTTCGACATTCACATTCGACATTCACTTTCGACATTCACTTTCGACATTCACTTTCGACATTCACTTTCGACATTCACTTTCGACATTCACTTTCGACATTCACTTTCGACATTCACTTTCGACATTCACTTTCGACATTCACTTTCNGTAACAAAGGATCAACCATAATAAACAAGGAGAAGTATCATGGATATTTTCCGACTTAAAACCTTGCAAAAGGCCGACGTTTTCATCGAACTAGTCCACAAACACATGGAAGCACTTGGCAGCCTAATGTTGATGACCACTGACCACTGTGACGTCACCAAAACGTATTTCCGCGGTGTCACTTTCGACATTCACTTTCGACATTCAAACTTTAAACATTCAAACTCAGCGTCCGTTTGGTCTGGGTACGAGAATGTGTCTCAGACCTCTCTCGGTCTTTTTCGTGAGTTACCTTTGACGCGGCGTGACTTACGTAGGGCCCATTATTTATTCGAAATAAAACTTAGACCGTGGTTTAAGGATGGTAATGGACCATGAGATTCTAATTATAATCATGTTACGTAAGGAAAGATATGTTTAATTGAAATTAGTCTGTAGCATATGCCTGCTTGGTTTTACAATTTAATTATGGTGAAGAACGCCTACCTGTTTGAGTTGAGCAGATTGAAGTCTAGTTAGCCGGAGGTTTTAATAAACCTCGCCTAAACTTCGTTTCAATAGCCGGTCCTTCATGTTGCTGCTAACTTTCTAACATAAGTTCAATCTCGTTTATTCTAATGGGGTGTGAGTTTTGAGAACCTATTAGTACATGTGCTGACAGTTTGCATGATTTAGAATGACAAATTTCCTCATAAGCCTAAAACTACTGACCACTCACTGTACGTCAAAAGTTATTTGTACGACACAATTTCATCTGTTGTGGTTTAGATTTATCCTTTGTTTGAATGTTCTTTTCCTTTGTTTTTGGGTATGGTAATGTCTGATACTAGGTGTGGAACAATGGGAAATAAAAATTTAACCCATTGACACTTACGTGTAACACGTGCCCTCGAAAAGTGATAATTTTGGAGAAACAAGAAAGCAAACACAATGCGCGGTAAATTTGTAAAAATCACGTTTTCCAAAAAACAAGCTCCAGTGAAAGAAGACAAATTAAAGAACTTATTTCCAACGAAAAAAGCGATAAGTGCATATTACGTTTTAACTAAAAAATCAAGATGAAAGTTAAAAATCGCAAAATATTTTCGCATGGAATCTATCGATAAGAAGCAAGACTAAAATGGGCAAGAAATATTTCGGGACGACAGATTTATTCAAAACAGTTTTTCATTTGCTGTTATAAGCGAAAAACGTACGAATTTCTTTCGTGTACAAAGCCCACGCGGTAAAATTCATCATGCTTAGATTGTTGTTTACTTGCCTTCATGGCCAGAAAATTGCGCAGCATTATGCTGAAAATTCTGAAAAAACTTCGATTTGACTAAAAATCTTCAATTAATTGACGAATCGAATGTCTGAAATGACGAAGTGAATGTTCGATTGACAAATGGAATCTTTGATTTGACGAATTGGACGTTTGAATTCCCTAGTTGAATGTTTGAAGTGACGAATTGAATGTTTGAAGTGACGAATTGAGTGTTTTGAAGTGACGAATTGAATGTTTGAAGAGACGAATTGAATGTTTGAAGTGACGAATTGAATGTTTGAACAACAAGTTTGAATTTTGGCGGGAATGGATACCCATAAATTTCAGCGGTAGTCTACCCATTTCGTTTCTGGCGGCCATTTTCGTTTCTAAGCTGGTCGCAATGTTTGTCTGAGTCTGTGCGGTGAGTCTCATAGGTTATTACGTAACAAAATCTATTTTTAGTAATAGTTTAAAGCGCTATTGAACGGCCACCCCCTGTTTACGAGTGATTTGGAATAATCTGCTGGATATCGTCACAGAAATAAGTGGTCGATGATATGCGATTAATCGCTGTAGTTCGCTTATGTTATAGTTTCCCCTATCTAATATTATGCAACTTTTTCCTTAATAGATCGATTAAAACCAGAAATCATTTATACGGTTTGCGTTATCCAGTGGATTAATAAACCCCTTTTTCTCCCCGGATCACTTATGTCTGTAAATCTATGGATTGGCTCTCGGCAGTAAAGAAGCCGACTGAGAATGACCTCTTTGTCTGCGATGTCTTTAATTTCATCAACACATTTCCTTAAGTCTTTAGACATGTCACCAGTATTGTCCTTGGGAAGTTTAAGAACGAGGAATGTTGTCACATTGCCTTAGGCTCGATTTTAAATGATAGAACTGGTGGATGGAAAGTTCCTCAGCTCTATAGCTTTGAGAAAATACTTCTCTCAAATTCTTGAGATATGAAAATAATCTCTCACTGGATTTACTATAACTCAATTCCAGTTACTTGTAGAGTCGCACTAATTTATTTTTGTAAAGTCAAGTTAAAAATACATTTCAAAATAATTGAAGTCCTTAGTTATCAAGATCAACTTTATCAACTGGGTGGTGTGTTTCTTTCTCTTCAACACCTCAAGCTCTGAGAGATTTTTATCGCATTATTTACACTCGCTATAAATGTTGGGGCGACTAAACTTACACATGTCGTGTAGAAAATAAAATTTACTGTTTAGGAGAAAACTGTTCAGTGTCTTTCATTTACTCGGATAAATGTGAGGCCAAAGCAAAAGAAAAGGCCCAGATATCCCTCAAAAGCTTCTCAACTGCTTCACTGTTACTCCAACTATTGGGTAATCCAGCCTTGACAACAACTTCCCATCGTGTGAACACTTTACTGAAGGCAGAAGCGTGTTTTGTTGGTCGAGAATACTCAGTAACCTCGTTCACGCTGATGCGAAGGGCTTTCCTGAACTCGCTTAGCATTGCCAAGTCTTCGTCTAGCTTGTATGTTCGAGACTTTTTGTGTCGAATCAAGGCCACTTCTTTCCAGACTTCCGGTTTAACTACAAAAGGACATCGGGAAGCATGTGCGTGATTTTGAGACTGCAAAATATCACGGTACTGCTCATAAGCAGTTCCACGTATGTCCTCGGAGCGCAGTGCATGGCGGGTCTGTAATACGAAACGGACATCAGTCTCGACTCCGTCTAAATCAGTGATGTCATGATCTTCGGGATTTTCCTGCCAAGCCCTCTTTACATCCACTGCGCACCAGCGCAGCTTGGGATACATGATTTCGTGAAAATTAAAAGCTTCATCTGTGAGCACACAGAATTCCTGATCCGTGTGTATTTCAACCAGGTAGCACTCTGAGCTTTGCTCTTCTACAAACCCGCGCTGTGTAAGAAAACTCATGATTTTCTCATGCGAAGAAACGATTGTAAAGAAAGAGCTTCGAGAGGGTTTCTCCTTTGGCATCTTTTTGCCATCTTCTCCTACATCGTTACTCTTTCGCTTCTTGACTTTTCGACTTTTTAGAGTCCGCACGTACTTTTTGTCATTTCTTGGAGTGGTGGAGAGCACACTGGGTCGAGGTTTGTAACCACGTGACAGATTTGTTTGGAACACACTTACAGTCGGAGATTCTGTGTCCTCAGTAAATGATTTCGGAATATTTAAAACATAAATGCGTCCGAAGCGAACAGCTAATTCCATTTCACCATGAATGGAAGGCACATAGTCCCTCTCTATTACCTAGAAAAAAAGGGGAGGAAGGAACTTGAAGTAATTTGAATCAAGGTCTTGAATTACAAATTCAAGCGTTCAACAGAAGGTAATGTAAAGGAAAATGGCACAAAGAGAGACAAAAAAAATTCAGGGAAATAATGCGCACCCACCCCTCCCCTAGCCCAACCTTAACTCCAACTTGTTGTTTATTGCTGGGTTATGGGAGGGGTAGGTACGCGGTTGCTAGGTTACTGACATTGATGACAAATGGATCGGAGAGCTCGAGAGAATCATTTCTGGCACGAAGATCTCCGAAGTCTCCCGATGTCCACCCGAGGGCATTCAAAACTTATAGAACAGGGTACAAACTACTGTAAGAGTAATCATAACTCATACCTGAACTTGAGTGAGAAACCTTTCTTTAAAGCTTTGAAACTCATACCGGGTAAAGGCTGCTCCGATACGTTTAAGGCCAGATCTCGGATTTATCAGCATGGGCACGTACAAAGCCAGACTATCATGGGTGGGGTGGTGATTTCCGTAGTACGGCACCAAAGTGATGCGATCGTCGTCACTAAGGCTACCCTCTACCACCATGAGTTTGGCTTCCTTAACAAAGCACACTGACATAATGGCAGCCTTGTTACGCAAGGCTTGCGTTGCCATCGCATTCAGTGCTCGCTCTACCGACGCCACAGCGGACTCAGTACCAATAGCTTGAAGAACAAGGCCAAATCCTGAACCGGGGAGACTGGGACGAATTGTTACTCTCGCACCAGTCTTCTTTGACAACTCATACGCGTTATGCCTTTCTGAGCCCGTCATGGCATATGACAGCTCTTCTGACAGGAAAATAACACGGTCGACTTCTGAAGCACTGATTGTAAGAAGCACTTCAACGTCACCGTAAAGTGCCAATAGATGAAAAGCGCGTTGCATGTGCTCCTTGAGCAGGCGCAAGTGTTCTGTGTCCAGCAGTTCTGCTAGTTTGGCCACGCCTAATAGTGAGGCAAATGGCTGGGGAATTTCTGTATCGAGAGTGGAGTTGTAAGCTTGAAAAAAATTCAGCAGAATTTCACCGATTTCTTCATCACCCAGAGTTATTGGAACACTGGCCTCGTGTTCTGAGGATTCCAATGACGGTAAAGATGCAAGAACATTTCGCCATTCCTGAATAAGTATTGCGTCGCTCACTTGTCCGATTGAAATCTGTAAGCAGCGCCTCCAGACACTTTCCACGTTGAAATTTTGCATCAAGTTCTTGGAAACGCAGAATATCAGCAACAAGAAAGTTAACTCGTTCGACTTGATTCCTGCCTCAACACCATGTCCTGTGAGCCCCGTCACATGACCCCAGCTAAGGAGGAGACGGAGAACTGGCAAGAGACCTGGGTAGGATTTAATGTAGCTTGATAACACGATAGCTTTGAGGAGCCCATCCCACGAGGCTGAGAGGTCGCCGACTACTTTAACTAAGGGACCGCCATAATTGGATGGGTTCTGGCAAGAAATCACCTGAAACAAAGATACAAAGAGCGTAATTAGAAATCGTTATTTTCAAGGAGACAATCTCCTGGCATGCATTGTCAGAATAAGCTATGCCAAGAAAACTCTTGGCCAAACGGAATTACTTCTTAGAAGTTCTCCACTGAGATTTATCGTCATGTTTATGTCATTTTTAAACAAGCATGATGATCTGTCGTTTTTTTTCCTCCCTTTCTGAATTGAAGAGCAACCTGATAATATGATAATGTACTAATTCTCGGGCCAGAGTAGGGAAGGTAAGAAACAAAAGTCGAACATATCAATTTATCCAGCGCTGGAGAATCTAAGCATTGATGATGATTGTATTGAAAATTTCTGCACCTATACAAGGCGTCGCTACTCCGAAATGAGTAGGGTGGATCCCCAAATAAACAATGTAATTATAAGAAAACAAGAATCTCAGTGCAGTCACTTTTCATATTTAAGAGGAATAACCCACCTCCCTCGATATCAAGACAACACTTACCGGGACCTTGGCGGACTCCACCAAACGCGCATGCTTAAACAGCGTCTTCATGATTGGGTGTAATGTCGTTAATAAGGCGATCTGTTCCTCTCGATCCAGTCTACTATAATGGGCAATGCGCTCCGAGTTTAGCATACAAAGATCAAGATCCGAATCTGTTCTGAAGAGAAGTGTCGCTGAAGAACCAAATAAAGCAAGGCTCATTCCAGGCATCGCCCTCGATATAAAATTCTTTTTCTGTAGCCTTTCTTCAAAACCTGGTAAGAGAAAACTTCTATCTTTCTCAAAGACCTTCAAAACACTTTCATTAATCGACGCTACGATGCTTGGGGACTCCTGCTCCTCAAATGCCCCTTCGCTTCTGATTGACAGCATGATGTCATCAACCAGCCACGGAAAGCTTAAGAACTGCTTTGAAGAGGTTCCATCCGGGACATTCGCTGCTGTGTCGGTCGAGTTTAGGTTACCGTACGCCACGTAGTACCAGGCCGAGGCCTTTCTTCGCATTTCTTCGGAAATAACATCATCATCTCCTCGTTTATCTTCGTTCGAATCGAACTCTCCGAAGAACCTTCTGCGAAAGCTTTCGCGTATTTTGGTGAGAATGTGCCCAACTATGTCAGCAATCTCGACTTTTTCTCTTCCAAGGCGAGAGTGAACTTTAAGAAAGCAGCCCGAAAGTAACTCGGCTTCTGTCTCGATTCCGTAGAGGTTCATCAGCGTTTGGAGCTGGTTGGAGTATTCCTCATAAAGTTCCTTTGCTTCATCTTGGTACCTCCGGAAATGGGGCACTAATAAGCTGGAATCGATTTGTGGTTTCTTTCGTGGGACCGCTCTCCCTATACTGTCCTTAAACGCCCTGCATTCGCGATAAAGCTTTCCCAATACCTTGTCCGAAGGGTAGCTAGGTTTGTCGGATTTCATCATGAAATCAGGAAAGACTAGGACTTTCGCCTCTTTGGGCATTTCGGGCCATTCTCCCGTCTTTGGAGCGTCAACTGCCAATGAATGAAGCTCAGCTAATCGAAGACATAGTGACGATTCAACCCCTCCCTCGTGACAATCGGCATGTGCTTTATGTGCGTTGTCAATCACACCAAGCTGGTCAAACCGGATATACTCAGCTACAAATTCGGTCATGTCACCTACTTGAATTGGTCCGGAGACTTTCTTTTTGGGGGGCGCTTCGTAATTCATCGGTTCAAAGAGTTTTCTCTTCGGCAAAAGCTCTTTTTTCCAGCAGACAAAGTACAGGTCACCATCGAGATCTCCTCCTGATCAGAAGAAAGTAGTAATTACAATTCTGCGTACCTTAAGTTTATGCTGCATTAACCCTTTCGCCCAAAGATCTCCTAAATAATTCTCCTCACCGTCTGCCAAACAATTTTTATGATGTTAGTTGGGAGAATTTGGTATTAGATCAACTAATAATCTCCTAATAAATACTGTCATGTCATTTATTCTTAACACTTGTCTGCTTGATATTGGATTGACATTGTAAGGAGAAATTCTGTCTTAATAACTTGTGCGAATTAAGGGTTAAGTATAAAAACGCACGAGCTAACAGGGCTTAGAGAAAGAGGAGATAAAACGCCATGAGCAAGTTCAATACAATGCCACCAGAGAACAAGGAGATAAATGGATGTGACGCTTGTGTATTCATGTTAAGACTGCAGAGTTAACCAAAGAAGAAAAAGGTCTATTCGAGCGAGATCCTTTACGTACACTGCTTGACACTGCTGGATATTCCCTCGCACATGCGCATACTTAGAGACATTTCGTCAACATGTAGACACTGTCACTCCCTACTCTGTTCATGTGCAATGGCGGCAGCGATATTGGCAGTGAGTCGTGCGTGGGTAAGAAAAGAAAAAGATTGTGAATTACTAGTTTTCTTTCTTACACTTTCGCCTTTGAGGATACCTGGTGATCAATGCTGAATTATCATAAATGTTTACTAAAATCAGTTATACCTGCCATTTCACTGGGATGAGGGCGTGGTCCGTGATTAGGAAACACGACGCAGTCCACCAAATGAACGAGTTGAGCCGCGTATACTGCGGTCAGCTGTCTGACATCTCCGGGATGTAGACAAGGATTTCTTGTTACCACTACCGGTCCTTCGAAAATATGCTTTTTTGATTTGCTGAATTCTCCTTCGCGATCAGGGTCATTAGAAGTCGCCGAATACTGTACAAACACCTGGGGAGAAGCCAGTTTAGAAGAAATGTCAAAGTGTGTAGACGAAGGTGAATTAAGCAGTACTGGCAAGAAAAGAAATTTCCATGGAGCATCGACAGAAACTTGAGACTATAACTAGTTTCTTATTCTTTTGCTCGCACCACACCCCTTACCAAGCCAGATGCAGAACTAAAACCCATCATGACTCGGTCAGTCGCATTTTTTCATGCTCGAGTAAGTTTGTGTGTTTTTGCTATGAGTCGTCATCACCTTCTTCTGATGTTTTACTTTCTTCTGATTGCTACTATAATTAAGATGGTTTTGGTTTTACAGCACCCAACTTGTTTGCAATGAACATAAACAAAAAGTAAAACACGCTGTTCAATCTATTTTTTTTCTAACCTCGCCTGGCTTTAAGGCCCCCGTCTCATCCATGACACCTATCATAAGTCGAGCCTCCGCTGGTGGTAAGAGAATGCGGGCTCGACTCAGCAGATTTTGCATTCGCTCTTTGTAGAGTGCTACTAACAAAGACTTGAAAAAGGGTTCAGTGGTCAGTTGTATTCCGGCTTTAGACAGGCTCGTGTAAGCGATCCCAGTTTTAGCCCCCGAAGTCATCTGCTGGGATGCCAGCCGTTCGTCGACTAGCATTCCTTGAAATCAAACATAGCGAATTTACTTACAACAAAGAGGATGGCCCAGAGGGTTTGATAACAAGTTCCTAGGTTCTCCAATTTCAGAGATGATGCTTTCACGGCACCGGTTCTCCGCAGAATTGCTTGGGTTAATGTTGAATTGAAGGAAACTGGGTCTGGAGCACGAAGTCGAGGCTAATCATTAATTTCTCGAGAAAACAAGATAAAATATCGAAAAATTCTATTTCAAACTTTTTTTGTAATTAACCACCATTAGAAACCAGTTGAAGCAGGAAGAAAAGCTAAACAGTACAAATTAAACCACAAAGGAAGTTTTGTATGCTTCGTCATTTGAGTTTCACGTAATCGTCCCAATTCCCTTTATGACGAACGTGGTCCAACGAAAAAGATCGATTATCACGTTCTTACCTGCTAATCTGTCCAGCATATCACGTTGCAAATTCATGAATACATCATCCGGGATACCAAGGTTAGACAAGAGAATAATCAACTGGTGATTTAAGAAAACGGCCTGTGGACGAGAGGTCTGCAGCACCTCTATGCGTCGATGGGAGCTTTCAAACTTGCGCATGCTCGGGCGGAAGACCGCTACGTTGTCTGGAAGCCTAGGATCAAGTGTTAGAACTCCTTTGCATCCAGCAAAGCGAACTTGGATCGCAGAAGGCAAAAAGTTCTTGCCGATCTTCTTCGCGACCTGCCAAGGAGAAAAAGCGTAACAGTTACCAAAGGTTAAGAGTCTAAGTCAACGTCAATGACGCTGAGAAAACACACAGTTCATGGTAAGCTCGAGAAACGGCTATTTTTGGCGTCTAACTGGTTAAGGTCATTCCCTAGTGTTAATTAGTGCATCCTTATGGTACATGATTTCACTTACGATCAAAGTGCGTACGCAATACAGAACAATGACGAATCGTCTACACAATCATGATGACAGGGGCAGAAATCACTGGGTATAAACATGCTATTTCTGACATTCTTGCTATGAATAGAGACAACCATACGATTGTATTTGAGAGAGTTCAAGTCTTTTACCGTCAGTTATAACCAGTACTGGTGGTCTTTCTTTTCTGTGATTTTAAATCCTCACCTGGCGAGCAAGTGACTTCGAAATTCTTCCCACTCCATCCGAGAAGCAGTAGCTGCCATTTGGTGTTTCAATGTCGTTATCCATTTCCCAGGAGGTCCCTTCACTGACGTCAATACCAACTGCGTCCATGGATGTTGAAAAGCACTGACCCATTCGCGCCATGAATGTGGCAACACAGCTAAGGACAGATGGGAAACTTGTTCAGAGTTTACATGCAGGAAAGAAATTGGCGCACACTCGCTATGTGGATTATCTGCAAGAGCCTATCCCGTTTCCGGATCGATGTCATTGTCCAAGTAACTGTGCACCCACCCCTTCCCTAATACAACCACAGCCAACTGATAACAGGTTAGGGTTAATGTTGGGTTAGGGGAGGGGTGAGTACGCAGTTGCTTAAACACGAAGGCGCGCTATAAAAGGAGCTTTAGGTCCCACTGGACCATTTGTCAATCAACCGTCGTGTGATGTAGAACTCTTAGAGATAAGTCAGCTTGAGCTACAGCTACTCCAAAGCAGTGAACAACGGGCGCATTCCTCAAAATTGTTTTATGTCTTTATCACAATACAAGAATTTTTGAGATTTGTATTTCCTTTCTCCAATGGAAACTGTCTTTATTT